TCAAAACCTTCTAAAAAATTTGAAGAGGAGAGAGCACTTCCAGCTCATTTTGTGAGTTCAGCATTATCCTGATAAACAAAGTCAGACAAGCATATTACAAGGAAATACAACTACAGGAATTGATGAATATGGATGCAAAAATCCTTGACAAAATATTAAATTCAGCAGCATGCTAAAAGGATTATATACCATAACTATGAGTGACTTATTCTTGGAATGGAAGGATAGTTTAAATTAATATCCTTGAAAATTAATCAATGTAAAATATTACATTTATAGAACAAAGGGGAAAAACTCATGTGATCATGTCAAATGATACATAAAAATATTTTTCAGTATACTTTCATGGTAAAACACTCAACAACTAAGGAATAGAAGGAAATTCCTTCAATAAAATAAAGATAAGAAAAACCTAGAAGTAAAAGATCAAAAGTGTTTCCCTTCAGATCAGGATTAAGACAAGGATGCTCAATATTACCACTTTTATTTCACATAGTTGTAAAAGTCCTAACCAGAGCAACTGATCAAGAAAATGAAATGAAAGTCATCGAAACAGGAAGGCAGAATTAAAATATTCTGTTCACAGAAAACATGATCTTATATATGGAAATCATAATATATTCCACAAAGTACACTAGACTAAAAAAAGTTCAGCAAAGGTGCAGACACAGTATCAACACATGAAACAATTGCATTTCTACATGCCAGCGGTTACAAACCTATGGCATGTGTGCTTGCACACAGTGGACATGCAAAGCCCTCTCTGTTGGGGCGCACACCACTTCAACCCATAACAGTTGGTTCTTCTAAAATAAAACCTCGGTATTCAGGTTTAATTGCAATGTTGGCACTTTGCAATAAATAAGTGGGTTTGGGGTTGCAGTTTGGATACTCAGTCTGTAAATGATTCGCCATTACTGCTATCTACTGATAATGAACAGCTAAAGGAAATTAAGAAAACAAATCCATTTACAATAGCATCAAAAAATAAAATTCTCAGAAATAAATTTACTCAAGAAGGCAAAGACTTATACAAAGAAAATTATAAAACATTACTGAAAGAAATTAAAGAAGACACTAATACAGGAAAAAACATTGCATGTTCATGGGCTAGAAGTAGTAATACTGTTAAGATGCTGATAGTACCCTAAATGGCCTACAGAATTAATGTAATTCCCACAAAAAAGTCCATGTTATTTTTTTTTTTTTTTTTTTTTTTTACTAAACATAGAAAAGTCCATCCTAAAACTGAAATGGATTCCCAAGGAACTCTGCTTAGCCCAAACAACCTTGAAAATGAAGAGCGAAGTTTGGTACTTTTCCCTACCAAAACTTTGCAATAATCAAGACACTGTGGTATGTACTTGTTGAAGCCCTAGGTTCAATCCTCAGCACCACAACTTGCTCTCCCCTAAAAAAGTAACAACAACATGAGACTCTCATCTATGGTATTTGACAAAATCCCTCATCTATGGTATTTGACAAAAGAACCAAGCCCATTTAGTGGGAAATGACAGTCTTCAGTAAGTATGCTGGAAACATTGGAGATCTGCATGCAAAAGAATTGTATCACATACAAAAGTTAATTCAAAGTAGACCAAGAAACTACACATAAGATCTGAAACTACAAAACTCTTAAGAAGAAAACAGAGGTTAAAGCTTTATGACACTGGACTTGGTAATGACACTTGAAACATGACCCAAAAATCATATTCAATAAAAGTAAAGTTGTACAACTTTTTATAACTAAAACTCCTATCTATGAAAGAATACTACTGACATTGAAAAGGCAACCCAAAGAATGAGGGAAAATATGTGCAAACAGGTACAGTGTTAATATAAAAACTAAATGGAGGACTAATACAACTTGGCAAGAAAAAACAATCTGATTAGGGCCGAGGCTTTAGCTCAGCATTTCAAGCTCTTACCTGGGAAGTGTGAGGTGGTGAGTTCAATCCCTGATACCAAAATGAAAACAAAACAAAACAAAACAAAACAAAACAAAAAGCCCAATCTGAATAAATTTAACCTGTAAAGAATTTGAATAGGCATTTCTCCAAATAGGATACACATATGTCCAAAAAGCTCATGAAATGATCTCAGCATCACTATTCATTAGAGAAATACAAATAAAAGCCAGAATACAAGTGTGTTTTAGTTAAAATGAAGGTAAAGGTAACATTTGACCCAAAGATAGGGAATCAGAAAGACGATAAATCAGAAAGAAGATAAATGCCCAGGGATTTTTATAATTGAGTCTTGAATAAACAGTAGCATATTTAACTAAATCTACACATCTTTAATGTTATCAAATACATGTGAAACATCAAACTAAAAAAGGTGAAAAAACACTATTTTATACATGAGAAGTTCACAGTCATGCTTAAGCAATATCAAATACGGGTTTCCAAAAGCTTAAAACAACATTTAGAACCTTTTGAAAATTCTAAATTCTTGTGACTATATCGTACATAATAGACATGGAACTAATAAAAATACTAAAGACTTATCATATTAAGATCTTTTAATATTTTAACTTTAGTGGGCCTGGCTATTCTAATTTGCAAAATGGTGCTAATAACTAACCATTTACAAAAAATAAAAACAAACCATTTATGAATCCTCCACAAAGATGTTAGAAGAAATGAATAGTAGAAGTAAAGAAGTTTAAAATGTTGCATAATTATAAGGACATGGTTCTAAATATAAATTCTGGATATAATATCATAATCCATGGGACCAGAATTGTAAAAAGTGTAATTATCTATTAGACCAACATGTCAGTCTCAAACTAAGATGAACGGGCCTGTTTAGGTGGAGTGGAGAATGGAATTTGAGCTCCCTGAAACTGTTTAGCAATGACAGTGACGCCACTTCTTCCTTGTTTTTGGTTTCCTTAGTTACTCTGTGGGTGATAAAATCCCATCATTGTTATGATGGCCCATCAGCCGTACACCTGACTTGCTTCCTTAGCGCCTCAGTTATTCCCTCCTAGTACATTAAATTCCAGGTGGTTATTACCTCTGTGATCACAATCATTCCTCACTACTGAAGAAGTAATACATGGGTCTTCTGAATATATTAGATTCTTAACAATAAACTGTCCTTAAATAGTTAAAAGATGTGATGGAGGATTGTGCTGTAGGTGGCACGCGTGCGTGCGTGCGTGTGTGTGAGTGGCTGTGCATGCGTTGTAGTTTTTAACCCGAAAAAGACAAAGTAGGAAAAACAAAAACAGTTCTACTTACGTGAGTTTTTAAAAAATTATAATGTACATAGTAATTATTATGAAAGATAACCAGAATTTTAAAATTGCCCACATCTGCAACGAGGATAGACAGGAGGAGAGAATGCTTTCAGTCAGATAGTGTGCGCTGCATTGCTAGGAAGTCATGAAACACTATGGTAAGTTCACTGAACTCAGCGTTCATTGTTCCGGCTATGGCATCGGTTAGATATACAGGAACTTTCCATTACAGCTCTTTGTCGTGTTTGGTCTTTTCACTTCTGCAGTCTATGGTCTTGGGAGGTTTGTGCTAAAGAAGTTTTACAAAGCAGATACTGGGGGCTGGGGATTTAGCTCAGCGGGATAAGTGCCTGCCTTGCAAGCTCGCAGTCGGTACGATCCTCCAACCAAAAAACAAACAAACAAACAAAAAAACCCAGATACTGCAAGGAATGGCATGCGACTTTGCGATACATAGTCTGGCTATACTTATTCACCGTATTTACTCTGTAGGCCTCATCAGCTAATGAAAGGGCATGTGGATGGGTCCGAGCAACACCCTTGATCTCAAGCAGTTCTGAGATTCCCAAGGAGGAGGTCAAGTGTTATCAGGCACACACCAAGGCACACATCACAATACCAAGGGCCCACAAGAAAACCGGATGGCCACGATGAAACTGGAATCTGTGTCCCTTCAGCCACTACCTACCCAAGGGCGCGCTGCCTTCCACTTTTGCTGACAGTAATCCCACTGCTAATTATGGGATGTGGCAGTTAAAGTGATGTGAGAAGAGTCACATTTGGCAGGGTTTAGTAAGTGTTGAAACGTACACAGAAATTTGTATTTTATGTAAACTTTCCCTACATTTTACTGCTTCAATTAGATTGATTTATTCATTACTTCAATAAACATTTATTGAGTGCTGATACATGCCAGGCAGTATAACAGGACTAAACACAAAAATTCCTGCCCTTTTGGAAATTATATTATAGTGGAGGAGTGTCAGAAAACATATAAAAACTGTATGTGACATGGTGATAATTTTGAGAGGAAAAATGCAGCAGGGCAGAGATCAAGAAAATACTGTGATAGGATTTGCAAGGATTGATTGTAAAATTGGTGTCCAGGGAAGGGCCCTCTGAAAAGATGACCTTTGGACAAAAACTTGGGGGAACCATATGAATATCCAGGTATATGAGCATTGCAAACAGGGAAAACAAAAACAGGATACAGGTGCGATGTGTCAGTTAGGTGATATTAGATAAAACAGAGGCCAGACCTCTGAGCCCAATAAGCAAGCCATTACAATGACTGGTTTTATTTTGAGCACAATGGGAATCGACTAAAGAGTTCAAACACAGGAGAAACTTAAATTGTATTTACAGGATTATGTTGGCTGCTAGGTGGAGAACAGACTAAAAATTTGAATCCCTTACTTTCAAGATGTCAGAAGACAGCATGAGGTTTTAATAAAGTTTAATAACCATCTGTAACTCTATAAGCCAAACTTGCCTCTGCTCTTCCTATCTTAATACTTAGGATCTCAGGCAAACTAGAAGGCAGAGGCCTGAAAACAGTTGTATACTCTTACAGTAGACTGAGAAAATTGTTTACAGAACGATTAAAGGAATAATATTGGGAGTTTTAAAAATATATATATAAACAATAGCTAATTACTTGTTAAGGAATTATGAACTTACCGAATAAATACTACTTAATAGTACTTACAGCCTAAATTTCTATTGAAAAAATATGACTTAACATAATATTTACCTGTGTGGTGACATTCGTTTCTTTTTGTCTTTTAATATGTTTTTCTGCTTCAACACTTGCACCTGCAATATGAATCAGTTTTATAAAATTTGAAAATATTTTCTTATTAAATTTTCTCTAGACAGATTCTTGTTAAAAAACTTTCAGACTTGAAAATAATTTACAATTTGGAGTTATTAGTAAATGTGTTAAAAATAATTCTTTCGGTCATTATTTGTAAAGATGTAAAAACACCAGAGTTATTCTAAATACTTTAATCAAGCATTCTAAAATAGAGTTCACATCAAAGAATTCTACAAATAAAAGCACTAATTACAATATTAGAAAAATTTCTGAGCTGCAATTTAACTAAACTGTATCTATATAAATAAATGTCACCTATTAGTAGAAAATATTTACACACAGAGAGTATAATTTTTTAACAAGAGTCTTATAGATTCATCCATAGGTCAGAGAGATTCTAAAAATTGAGTGACATTAAGTATTTTCATGTATGTCTACTAGCATAATCACATCACACTTTGAAAGTTGAGAAAATTTTCAATGAATCATTTAATGAATTGTTCAATAAAGAACATACCTCACATAAAATCTGTAGTAGTCATCGATGCACTTGATTTTTGTATAGTGCTTGAAGTTTGTTAACTGTCATATTTAGGAAAGAAATCTTTGAAACTTTGATGTCACAAGGTAACACACCACTATATGTCAGCTTTATTGCAGTATTATGATTGGTAATTTTCAATTACTATATACTGATGCATTATAAAAATGTTCCTACAGGTTTTGAGAAGCAAAATATGTATATATGGATATTTTCTGTATGTATTATATCTTGGAGATTAACAATTTGGCTCAGGATAAATATGGGATAGTCAAAGTTTTGTGTTTCCAAAAAGCCATGGAATTTTACTTTAAGAGTAGATAAACAATTTTCTACTGTTATCTCTTAACATTGTACTTATCAATTTGACATATTTTATTCTTTCTTTCACTGGTGAACTTTATTTTTGATTTTTCCCCAGTGTAAACTATTCAAAAATTTAAAATTTTTACTTATTTATTTCTTGGTTGGCCTATAATAAGGTAAGATATATTTTGAATGTGGCCTCAAATTCTGTTTTGTTTACTTTCCAGATTTTATAGAACTTGGTCCCAGATTGCAATCTTCTGCCAAATAAGACAGTTTGCAAATTCTAAATTAAAATTCAATAATTTCATAGTTACAAATATATTAATAAAACATATAAAATTATGTTGAAAATCATATATGGTTGGTATACTTATGTATATTTGGATTGTTCTTTAGGTTCAGAATGTGAAATAAATTATACTAAAATAAAAATATTATTACAAATGGAACTTTGTCTCAAGTTTGCCATGAAATCATTTTGGGATCAAAATTACTTATTATTGGAGTCAAGACAGCATTATGATCCATCACAGTCTTTGAGTCAAAATTACTTCCTGACTTCTAATGTTGCTTTTGTTGCTATTTTGTTGTTATGATAGAAAAATGAGATAATCTGTGTATTCACCATAATACTTAGTATATATTGGTGTTTAATAAATATTAGTTATGAAGTAATAATACTACCTACTCCTTTAAAGGATTTATCAAATCATCAAAATGTTACATATAAATTAATAATATAAAGGGAGTATAGCATATAAAGCCTTATTAGAGACTACATATGTTTATAGAATTTGTTAATGATTTGCCTATAATGTAACTTTTCTCTCAGAGTTAGAGCTTTATCTTCAAAACAAATTACTTAGTCTAATTATATTTGTGTTTTACAAATCATACACCATTGCTGATATTATAGTAAATGTCTAGTGATTTTTAAGCTCCATTATCACAACTAGAAGAAACAAACTGGAAAAACAATGTAATTTGGTAGATGCCCATTATTGCTTCCCCAAGGCACACAGAGTAAAATTAGAGCTCAAATGCACAAAGTACAGACACAGAATAAAAAGTGCTGTACAAAGTGTCATGTGTATTTAAGCAAGAGCAGAAAATTATGGATATTAAATGCAATAAGGTTATACACTAGACCAGCTGTCAGTGGTCAGAGAGCAACATGAAAAGTACAGGGCTGAAAGCAGTCATCAAAAGTGGGTAAATGCTGAGAAAGGAATTAGTGAAATGGGCATGAGGCGTAAGAATATGACTGAAAGAAGTGACTAGTCACTACCCAAAAGCATAAAAAAGAAGATATAAGCAGTTGAATGAAGTTTATGTCAGAAAATAAGCAACAGTTTTCTGAATAAAGTGTAGCATAAATTGATACTTGTGCCTGCATTCGTATGATACCTTCCTAGTAGATTTAATCATAATTGTTCTAATTTTAATCTAATTTATATCTATAGTCAGAAGAATTGTCCCTAAATATAGTTTCAACTAAGACACACATCTGCCTAAAACCCAAAGGGTTTTACTGTATGAAAACTAAATTCCCCTATTGAATTTCATTTCCTCCATAACCAAGATTAACTCACATTCACAGCTATTTTCCAAATCTAAATAATCTCTACTTTGGTAATAGGCTATTTAGTTACATAAATTTGTACAGTGGAATAGTATAGGTTTTAAGGCTTCAGTATTTGGAAAAGGTGAGTATTTTATAGCCTTCTGTTCTCTTCTTCTTTTCTTTCTTTCTTTTTATTACTTTTATTTCTCCCTCTTGTTTGATTGCTCTGGCTAATATTTCCAGAAGTATATTGGGTAGGAGTGATGATAGTGGACATTCTTGTCTTGTTCCTGATTTTAGAGTGAAAACTTTTGGTTTTGTCCATTTAGTATAATGTTGGCTGTTGGTTTGTCATAGATGGCCTTTATGAAATTGAAGTATGTACCATCTATTCTGAATTTCCGTAGGGTTTTTATCATGAGAAGGTGTTGGACTTTATCAAAAGCTTTTTTGTGTCTATTGAGATGACCATGTGATTTTTATTTTTGGCTCTGTTATGTGGTATATTACATTTATTGATTTGCATATGTTGAATCATCCCTGCATTCCTGTAATAAATCCCACTTGATTGTGGTGTATAATCTTTCTGGTAATTTGCTGCATTCTATTTGCCAATATTTTATTGAGAATCTTTGCATCAATGTTCATTAGTAAGATTAGTCTATAGTTCTCCTTTTTGGTTGGGTCTTTCTCTGGTTTTGATATCAGAATAATACTTGCCTCCAAGAATGAACTGAGGGAGGACTGCTTCTCTTTCAATTTCATTGAAAAGTTTAAGGAGTATTGGCATTAAATCTTCTTTAAATTTCTTATAGAATTCAGCTGTGAATCCATCAAGACTTGGGCTCTTCTTTGTTTGTAAGTTTTTAATCACATTTTCGATTTGAATAGCTGATACTGGGTGATTCAAAATTGCTATATCTTCTTGACTGAGCTTTGGTAGTTCATATATTCCTAGAAATCTGTCAATTTCCTCCATGTTTTCCACCCTATGTGAGTAGAGATTTTCAAAGTAGGTGTTCATGATCTTTTGAGTTTCCATCGGATCTTTTGTAATTTTCTTCTTTTCAATCCTCATTGCATGGATTTGAGTTTTTTCTTGATAAGGTTGGCCAGGGGTTTATAAATTTTGTTTATTCTCTCAAAAAAACCCCAGATCTTTGATTCATTAATTCTTTTTAGAATTAAAGATTCATTAATTCTTTTCATTAATTTGTTTTTTAGCTTCAATTGCATTAATTTCTGCTCTAATCTTTACAATTTCCTCTCTTCTATGAGCTTTGGGTTTGACTTGCTCTTCCTTTTCTAGAAGCTTGAGATATAGCATTAGATTTTTTATTTGCATTCGTTCCATTTTTTTTAGTGACTATTTATTGCTATATATTTCCCTCTTAGGACTGCTTTCATTGTGTCTCATAGATTATCGTATGTTGTATTTTCATTTTCATTGTATTTTAGGTATTGTTTTATTTCTTCTTTAATTTCATCTATAACCCATGGTTATTCAGAAGGTTGTTATTTAAGTTCCATGTACTTGTGCAGGTTTTGCAGGGCTTTTTGACACTGATTTCCAATTTTAGTGTGCTATGATCAGATATTATATATAGGATCATTTTGCTCCCTTTGCATTTAGTTAAGAATGTTTTATGGGTTAATATATGGTCTATTTTGGAGAATGTCCCACGTTCAGCTGAGAAGAATGTATATTCTGATGTGGCTGGGTGGAACACTCTGTAAATAGCCACTAAATCCTTCGCTCACAGGTATGATTCAGTTCTGTTATTTCTTTGCTGACTTTTTGGCTAGTTGACCTATCTCTTTGTGACAGTGGGGTGTTAAGGTCTCCTATTACAATTATGTTCTTGTGTACTTGGTTTTTCACATCTATTAGTATTTGTCTTATTTAGTTGGGTGCTCCTATATTTGGTGCATATATATTTATAATTGTTAGTTCTTCCTCTTACAAGTATATAGTGGCCTTCTTTTATCTCTTTTAATCCTTTTAGATTTGAAGTTCACTTTGTCTGCAAACAGAATCGCTACTCCCGCTTTTTTCTGGGTTCCTGTTGCATGGAATACTGTTTTCTATCCTTTGATTTTTAATCTATGAGTTTCTTTTTGAGTCAGATGTGTTTCTTGTACACAGCATGTTGTAAAATCCTATTTCTTGATCCATTCTGTCTTTTGATAGGTAAATTGAGTCCATTTACATTTGTGGGTATCACTGATATGTACTGGCTTGACTTTGTCATGTTGTGTTCCTACTGTTGGTTTCCTGCTTTTCTCCCTTTCTTCTTTTCATGTTCAGCCTGGTGGTTTCTTTCTGTTGTTGTTCTGGAGATTGTGGTGATTTTAATTCCTATCTAGCATGTCTTTCAGTACTCTTTCTAGGGTTGATTTGGTGGACATGAATTCCTTTAGTTGTTCTTTGTCATGAAAGTATCTTGTTTCTCCATTAAATTTGAAAGACAGTTTTTCTGGGTACATCAGTCTGGGTTGAAAGTTGTTTTCTTTTAGGGCTTGAAATACATCACTCCAGGATTGTCTTAACTTGAAGGTTTGTGCTGAAAAGTCTGCCGTGATTC